ATTAATCAATCTAAATAATCAAAATCACTGCTTGATCGATTGAAGCCCCGAACCCAATGAACTTGTCGCCAGAAGAGAGTTGTATTGCAGCATCGAGTGAAACATGTTCTTTTACCGACGTATTATTCTGGCTGTATTCCTTCCCTTCTATTCCTGTCCTCATGCCTCCACCATCAAGCAGCATCTGTTCCACACACCGCCTCTCCGTATTTCCCCGCACTGTTGTCGTACGTCCAATCCTTCCGAGACCAGCTTTACCATTACTTCCAGTTCTAGTGACATGCATTTTCAATGCATCCTCCATCTTCCATAAATTCGTCGGTGACCTTGTCCGGTTTGTTCCTTTCACACTGTGTTTTCGTTCTGATCCCCACCATTTTTATTATTTACCTATGTACTTACACTGTTATTGTACATATGCTCGCTCTGATCATTTGATCACGTTTTGTGCATGTTTCACGGGCTCCGTGAAATATACATATATTATTATTATTATTACATCGGCACGTATTGGGTACTTTCTAGTGCCAAGATACGCCAATAAACGTCTACGACCACCAAGAGTGTTTTTGTCTACCAAGGGTAACAGGGTACTAGGAGATCGCGCGCTTAATTCGAGAGCAATAAGTAGATTGATCGACAGGCTGTCAACTCCGATTAGCTTCATTGGTGAACTCGCAACGTCTACCTGGTGAGTCAAGCTCACTTTGGTTTGCACTAGTTTTCTTCCGGTTCATTTACACTTGCGACAGTAGAAATAACCTACAAAACTACAAATCAGTTAGCTTAAATAGTATTCTATGCAAGTTAATCAGGACTCATGTCTATAACTTCTTTTCTCCCCCAGGATAAAGGGTCTGGAAAGGGGAGAGGTCTACTCGCGGTATATACCAACGCTGCGAGTTGTAAGCAATACGTAGCCAGAAGCAGAGGCACGCTTTTCTGGAAGAGATTTCATCGTCATAGTTGAAACTTGGCTAAGCTCGAGGGATGATATCAGATGCCGAATACCGCGAAACTATTCTATAATCACTAGAATGGACCGACCGACGGAAAGGGTAGGAGGAGGAGTTTTACTCATGGGAGCTGACCATCACAAGCAGAGGCAGGGTATAAAAATTGCCACCCTGAAAGTAAAAGGCGGAGAAGCAACTGTCAAATTTGGCAACGGAGAGACCATCCTGGTTGAGCTATACCGCAGCCCTAATGCAGAAACATGGGAAGACGATCAGCTTCTTGCCTTCCCAGAGGAGGTTACAGCGAAGGGTCGCAAACTCCTGATTTTAGAAGAATTCAATGCGCCAAAGAAGGGCTAGACCATACAGATAGCTTCCAGAAACTTCTTTCGGAATAGACTAGCTGCGATGCTACATAGGAGGGCCCTGACACAGCACGTAGATAATGCAACCCGATGGCGTGATGGTCAGGCCCCATCGATATTGGAACTAATGTTAACCAGGATGTCCAACGATATTCTCCTCTAGAAAATAGACGAACCCATAGGGAAAAGTTACCATGGAGTGTTTCGAGTAAGAATGATGACAATGAAACAGTGTGCCGGACAAATATCGTAGGTCCTTCCGGTCTGTAAACCAGGCCGCCCTAATTGAACTGGGTTGCCGATGCAGCTGGATGGTAGAAGAGGGAGAGCAATATGTCAGCGGCAGTGATGTTGGATTAAGAACAACATACTGGCACTTATAGACTTAGTTGCTCCACTCAAGAGAACGAAACGCAGGGGTGCTACGCCATACGAAGTAGCAGAGTGAAGAAAGCCATCCACAGGAATAAAAAGCTTGGCGGTGATACTGGTGCACCGAAGCGCATCGGGACTTCCTGCGCTATAAAGCGGTGAGGAAAACGTCCTCCAGGTTGCAGAAATAATGTCGGGGGAGGTATAAGCAGAGGTTGGACTCATAAGCGAAAACCAACCCCAAAGCCTATTTCATTACGTGCGGTCAAAGACTGCACTAAAGGAGGCTGTAGAATTTGTTAGAAATGACGATGAAGTGCTGGCAGTAATAAACTATAAGAAGGTAAACATCCTATGTCACTTATATCAGACTATCTATAGAAGGGACCTAGGAGCACTAGGTAGGTGCGTTGGAGAATGCACGCAGCTGTAAATGCCAGAAGTGTACATAGAACAAACAAACGTAGA